TATATATACATATACATACACATGAAGCACAATATTTTAAACATGTATTGCTCAAAAGTTTGGGGTCAGTAAAATGTTTTTTAAATACTTATTAAAAAATTAAAAGTTAACAGAGACCTTTTATTCAGCAAGGGTGCATGTCAAAAGTGACAGTAAAGACGTTTCCATTGTTACAAAAATCTGTTTCTAATAAATGCTGTTATTTTTTACTTTATTTTATTTCAAAGAATCCTGAAAAAAAGTGTATCACGGTTTACACAAAAAATATTAACTGTAACGGGGCTGACGAGACGTGAGACGTGTGGATCCATCTGCAAGCTTTTATTAAAGAGACGTGGTATAACAGGAAGGGTCGAACAATGGCAAACAGGTATATGGCGGGCAAAACACAAGAATAGTCCCAGGGCTAGCGTAGGTCACCGATCGGCAGACAGAATCACAGGGGCGAGACGAGAGGGAAAAATCCAGGAAAACAGGCAAAGATCAGAAACCACGAAAACAGGCAAGGCAAGGCAAAACAAGGAAAACACAGAGACGCGGAATGGGGTACGGGCTAAACAATACTCAGCAGAGAATGGCAGTTTGAGTGGGTGTTATATAGTGAGTGAGGTGATAAGAAACAGCTGTGTGCAATGAGTGCAATCAGTGCAATGTGCAAACCGTGCAATGAATGATGGGATATGTAGTCCGGGGTGCTATGCAACAGTTTGTGTTGTGCGAGAGTCAATGTAATGGAAAGGGTGACCTCTGGAGGTGAAGTCCATGGACCGAATTCGTGACACTTATCATAGAAATGAATGGGACTATAATCAGACTTGATCGGAATGAATCAAAAGTGAATCAAAAAGCCTTGATAAGCTGCCCAAAATAATTTTTTTTTGCTTGTATAGTGAAAACTATCCAGAAACCCAGGTTTGAGTCCAGCCCAGGTCATGTCATGTTTAAAATGTGAAAAAAGAGAAAAATTTAGCTCTTGTTGATTATATGGAATAGGGCCAGTTGTTTGTCCACTGTAATGGCCTCATCTCTTTGTGTATGTGTTTTGCTTTGTTTGCAGGTCTCCATTTGTCAGTGTTTCTGAGTACTCAGTGCTGAAGAACAATATTGTTCAGCTCTGTCTAGAGCTAACCACCATAGTACAGCAGGTGTGTGTGTGTGTGTGTGTGTGTGTGTGCGTGCGAGTGTTTTGGTATTCAACACACACAAACAGCCCAGTCTTTTATTATTATTTTAATGTACATTTCTCTTTTCCACTCAGGATTGCACAGTGTATGAAACTGAGAATAAGATTCTACATGTGGTGAGTGTTTCTCAAGCCACACACACTTTCTTTTCACACACACAAACTTGTACACCTATACTTGTGAGGAACCCCTATGAACTGTATTGAGAGCATCTAATTTTGATTACCACAGGCAATTACTTTGACTCAGAAATGCATTAAAAATGAAAGCCATATGGAAATCCGAAGGGTTTAGAAGCAGAAATGTAAAATTCACATTTTTGTTAAACCTTTTACATGAATTTTTCAGTTGTGTGTTATTTGATTTGTGAAGATGTCTAAATCCCACATTTAAGGTGCAACCACTCTCTTAACGATGCTTCACGATGCCATAGAATAACCTTTTTGTCTAAATGGTTCCATAAAGAACCTTTAACATCTGAAGAACCTTTCTGTTTCACAAAAGGTTCTTTGTGGCGAAAGAAGGTTCTTTAGATTACAAAAGGTTAGAAAGAGATGGTTCTTTAAAGAACCTTTGACTGAATGGTTCTTTGTGGAACCAAACATGGTTCTTCTATGGCATCGCTTGAAGAACCTTTTGAAGCACCTTTATTTTTAAGAGTGCACCTTTCAAGGTAAAGAAAATGTCCTTTAAGACATTAACAAAGACATTACTTGGCCACTTTATAAAAGTTTTTTTTTACAAGTGAGGAACATCCTCCATCCCTAAAGGCTGGTTTTAAGATATTTTACTGGGTGAAGTCGGTGGAACCAAACATGGTTCTTCTATGGCATCGCTTGAAGAACCTTTTGAAGCACCTTTATTTTTAAGAGTGCACCTTTCAAGGTAAAGAAAATGTCCTTTAAGACATTAACAAAGACATTACTTGGCCACTTTATAAAAGTTTTTTTTTTACAAGTGAGGAACATCCTCCATCCCTAAAGGCTGGTTTTAAGATATTTTACTGGGTGAAGTCTATACAAGCAAACACTCACACACTTTTCTCACTCACACACAGCCTTTAAAAGTATATTTCAAGTAAAAACGTGATTGTGAAGTCACATGTATCTAGCTTGCTCTGAAGCAAAAATCTGTTATGTGTGTGTGCGCATGTGTGTTTAGCCTAAGTTAGCAAAACATCTGAAACGACGTAATGTACCTTAAACAGTTACACCTTTTCAACCATTTTGTCACACTATTTTAGTATAATTTTTTTGCTCTTACAGTATTTATTAATATTTTGAAATAGCTTTTATTTCAATATTTTTTATAATTAGTTATTATATTTATAATATAATTATTATAATTCGTTTTTTAATTATTATTTCTATTTAGCTCTTTTGTATTTCAGTTTTAGTAATTGTAGTACTTAAACATATTTCAGTTATCTGCCAAGGCAACATTTCTAATTTTTCATAAAGTTTAAGTTTTTCATCTAATATTTACAATTGATTTAATTTCAGTTTTATTTAAATTACCGAAAATGATATTGATAGTTTCAGTTAACAATAACAACACTAGTTTCCCACTAAGTTTTTATGCTTTATGCCAGTGTGTGACATTTACAGTTGATATACTGCACATCACATAGAGAAGTGATGTTATGAATAAATAAAATAATTTGATCATGGCTGTTGTGTCTCCAATCATAATTTTATAATGTAAAGCACCATCCAAAGCCTAAGGTTGGATATCTTGAATAATGCAGATTGTGAAGTTTTCTCCCTTCAGGATCACTGCCTGTAGAACAGAAAGAGATAGAGGGAAGGATGGAAGAATGGAGACAAATAGAGAGAAAAAGATGAAAGAAAGAATATAGCATGAATAAATCTATATATAGCATATACATTATTGGTATATTTCATGATGCTGAACGCCTTCATCACTGCTCCTTTTCAGTTCAACGGCTCTAATTAGACTGAGAGATTTACTATGAAACTGCAAACATTTACTGACAACACTGTCTGTCTCTTATTGTCTTTCTGTCTTTATCTCTCTTTGCAGTGTAAGACTCTATCAGGTATCTGCGAGCACATTATTTCATTGTCATCCGATTCGTTGGTGTCGCAGTCTGCCCACCTAGAGGTTGTCCATCTGACGAACGTTATGCCTAGCGAGGGCCTGGTGAGTAAACAACAGCAATACCCCTTTCATAAATCAACAGAAATATGAGAATGTGCATTATAGTTGTCTCTGCATATTGTAATGTGTAATATGCAGAGACAACTATAAGACAACTATTTGCAGACATATGCAAATAGCATTCGTTATTACGGCATGTCATGAATTTAAGCTGGAAGCATACCATGAAAGTAGCCTAAATACCCAAGTACCCAAATAACTACATCTGAATTCAAAATTATGAAAATATGTGGTGCACAAACATATTTGATATTCAAAAGTTTTCAAAAAAGTGAACCCCGAAAGTCGCTTGATTAACTTTACACCTGTTGTCTATTAGCTATTCTGTACATTGTGCCTTCAAAATGATTAAACTCCAACATGTAAAATTAAATTAATGTGCAAAATCATTATTTTCCATTTACTAGGGCTTGCTTTCCACTCACTGATTTCTATATATAGATAATAAACATATTATCTATGATAGATCAGTGTTTCCACCATGTTTTACATCTAGAATTCCCAATTTCCCAATTATAAATACGACTTGGTCATTCATGTGCTTGGAACTAGTAATAACGATATTTCCAAATGCACACAATAACAACACTGACTCAGCCAATGGTGGGAGTTTGGGACGGGACTATCTGTTTGTGTGACTAATGGTAGACAGGGAAACCTGTTTGAAAACTATCACTTTACAACTTTTTGCAGTTCCATTTAGTAACAGACATTACACACTTCAGCACCATTTGAAAAATCTGTATTGTGATCTAGTTGTGATGTACTATATGATTGATTGATTTTATGATTGACAACTGCCTCTTTCCTCTTTTTTAGGGCATGTACATCAAGTCCACATATGATGGCCTTCATGTGATCACTGGAACCACAGAGAATGTGAGTTCAGAGCGGTCTTATAGTGAGGGTCCTAATAAATGTTTGAGAGGAGCTTGTTCAAATTCATTCCACCAATACAAACTCTAAAATTATTAACAGCTTCTCAAAACGTTGCCCCATGTATCATCAGCCTTACAGGTTTAGGGTTTAAGCAGGACATGATGTGTCACAGTGAATCAAAAGATTTGGTGCTGTCATTGGTAAAATGCATAACATATCACTTCTACCTGAAAGATAGCACTGAAACAAGTATCTTAAGAAATGACACCTGAGTCTGTGACAACCCTAGGGTTTGAAAACAGCAAAAAATATAAAAAATCTGACCCTCTCTGGGAAAGTCACCTGTTTATGTGTTTGGGATAGATTCAGTGTCTACATCTAGCAAAAGTTAGCAAAACATCTGAAACGACGTAATGTACCTTAAACAGTTACACCTTTTCAATAATTTTGTCACACTATTTTAGTATAATTTTTTTGCTGTTACGGTATTTATTAATATTTTGAAATAGCTTTTATTTCAATATTTTTTATAATTAGTTATTATATTTATAATATAATTATTATAATTCATTTTTTAATTATTATTTCTATTTAGCTCTTTTGTATTTCAGTTTTAGTAATTGTAGTACTTAAACATATTTCAGTTATCTGCCAAGGCAACATTTCTAATTTTTCATAAAGTTTAAGTTTTTCATCTAATATTTACAATTGATTTAATTTCAGCTTTATATCAATTACCGAAAATGATATTGATAGTTTCAGTTAACAATAACAACACTAGTTTCCCACTAAGTTTTTATGCTTTATGCCAGTGTGTGACATTTACAGTTGATATACTGCACATCACATAGAGAAGTGATGTTATGAATAAATAAAATAATTTGATCGTGGCTGTTGTGTCTCCAATCATAATTTTATAATGTAAAGCACCATCTGAGTTCTTCTAGATCTAGATTAAACCTCCTGTAAGTGTTCATGTCAATTTTAAGATCATCATTTGTGATGCTGTGCGATAGGACTTCTTATCCGTATAGGAAAACCAGCTCTGGTTTCCTTCAGATTGTCAGTGCCCATTTCAGGCAGTGCTGCTCTATAAAGCACATCCTGTGCTGCAGCTCTTCTGTGGGGACAGCAGAACCAGGTCATCCACATAGAGCAGGCACTTGATTTCAGAGATGGGTAGAGTGAGGCTTTGAATGGTGGATTGTTCCAGTGCTGTTGTTAAATCATTTATGTACGTGAAGAAATAGGTTAGACTCTAGCTACATGCCTTTTTTAGTTTCTGAAAGAACAGAACTCACTGATTTATCACTCTTAACGCACATGATTAATATTCTGGACTGGTGTGGCATGGTTGAAAAAAAAAAATAAAAAATTTGTTACAACCCCAAAAGGTTTGAAAATGTCAACCGTTGTACCCTTAGAAAGACATTTAATCTAAGGTCGCTCCAGGCAGACTGTCACTGCAAGAATTGTACTGCAAGTCGCTAATGCATAGAAGCATCATCTAGATCAGTGGTTCCCAACCTTTTTCAACTCGCGGACCACACAACCAAACACATATGTTTCCGTGACCCATTGCAAAAAAATGAACTGACCCCGCTATTTGTTGGGTTAATAACTGAGTACTCAGAAGCTAGATTGTTAACTGTCTTTATCGAATGAACTGGCAATGAACAATAAATGCATTCAAAATATCAAATATGGCTTCGGCAGTTGATTGAGTCGGCAGCGACTTACAGAAAAGAAAATCCTCTTTTAATTCTCCGTTATGTACATACCGTACATAAGCTATGAGGTTGGAAAGGTTTTCTATATCGGTCAATTCATCCAACTTTTGATAAGACTTCTGAGCAAACAACGCCTAGCGCTAGATAGTCACTACTGTATTTTCTTTTAGATTTATTTTGAGTCTTTTCAGTGTCAGGCTTACTTGTAGATGGAGAAACATCTGCATTTGTTCTTTTCAGCAACCCTGTTGACCGCCATTTATCAATGTTTGAATCTGTTGTTCTGTAGCATATGCAGCAAAAATATTTTAGAATTGGCGGTTTATTCTTAAACCAATCAGCGAGCTCGAATAGTGGAAGCAAAGTAACAGTTTAATATTTATTTTTTGTTATTTAATTATATATATGAAATTATGATATTATGTTATGACTTAGACATTTTTACATATATTAACAATATTATGATTTCTTTTAATAGTAATTGGCGGCCCCCCTGCAATACCGTCGCGGCCCACAGGTTGAAAACCACTGATCTAGATGACTGCTTACTAAGTTTGAACAGGTTATGAAAAAATTATTTAAAATAAACTTTTAGCTATTAGTATACAGAGAGAGAAAATGAACAGAGCTGCATCTCCCAAAAGCATTGTACACCTAAATAGATTGTAGAAACCATTGGCACCAATGCTCTCTATGATCTACTTAGGCTTACAGTGCAAATGGGAAACGCAGCCCAGATGAGTGAGATTTTGATGAAACATTCTTCATAGGGAAGGTCAAGATTTAGGTATGTATGATAATATAATGCAACACAGAAATGCCTGGTGTCAGATTTATCTCTATAATCAACAGGGGTTATTAATCTCTCAATCTCTCTTGCAGTCTCCTGCAGATCAGTGTAAGAAGATCCACGCCGGTGATGAGGTCATTCAGGTCAATCACCAAACAGTGGTGTGTATCATTGCGTGGGTTAGGCTGACATCTGTTTTGAGCTTGCATCCTAGAAAATGTGCAGTAATGTTTGAACAGGTATGATTGATTAACATTTGATGCTCAAGGGTTTTCAGGTGGATCTCATGAAGCCTGTCAAGGACATGTCTGAAATGTCTAATTTCTTTATAAGCAATTGTATATTTTTAGGGCCATAAATATATTTTGCTTTCTAATGATGTTTTCTACAGAGCCCTGCACATGACATGCAGACAAAAATATTATTTATTTTAGTCAAAAGTTAAGAATTCACTGCTACGAATTAAGAATTATTGGTTCCCTCGTTTTAGTAAAACGTGGCCCTGTTGTACTAATTTGTTCCCACAACTAGGGAACAAATTAGTACAATGTGACCCCGATTAACTAAAATGAGGGAACAAATGAATAAAACGAGGGAACAAATTCTTAATCTGTCATGTGCGGGCAGGGGCGCGGGAAGATGTTTCGTTTGGGGGTGCTGTGTGTGTCCGTGTTGGGTGAAGGGGGGGGCGGGGTTCACTTACGTCGGTGCTCGTGCTGGGGCTGACTTCTCCAAGAAATCCGGGCCTGTTGCGCTTCAGTTCCTGGTGAGGTATGTGATCTCTGCCTCATGATGTCTGAAGTCACCTAACCACAGCGACCACAGAATGCAGCACATTGCTGGACTCAATCACTGTGCTGCTGCTGCTGCTCCAAAGAAACACCTTGTTTTAGATTTGAAGTGAAGTTTTTTTGTCTTTTGGCTACGACTTGCCTTGTTTAATTCTACAAAATTGTGATTTGTCATTTGCAGGTTCTATATTGAGAGTGTATCACTTCTGAAGGAGCACACGACTGTGGAGTTATTCTTTCTGAATGCCAAGTCGGCCATCTATAATGTGAGTACATTTGTGTCTGTTTACCCACCGAAGTGATTCAGTGTCTCATTTCTCACCTCTAGAAACAATTAGGATGCCACAGACCTCAGAGAGTTAATATGAGTTATTGCATCCCAAGGCCATTGGAAGGGAATGTGTCACTGATTGGCTTGTGAATCAAGAACAGAGAAATTCTTGCAAGATTCTTCATAACCATCAAGACCATCATACGCATTATTTTGGGCATCATCTTTTCACTGTTCATTATGACCTGGGTTTTCCCAATCACTTTATAAGCTCTGTATCTAATACAGAGACAACATTTAAGTTGTGTTTGCTCTGAAATTTTTTTTTTTTAATCTGTCGCCGCTGGTTGTTAAGTTGTTAAGATGTCAGTGCCAGGAAGCGACAGCAGGTATATGTTTTCTCCTATGAATTTAAGATTTATGTACTTGAACTATACATACAATTTCCATTCATTTGTATTAAACAGTTTTAACATAAACAAACTAATAAACTTAATGTAATACATATTAGGCAGTCATACATAAATGAAATGGGTAATATTTCTGTAATATTACTAATAAACTGAATATGTTTTAATACACAATTAGCATACTTATATATTTATCATAAATAAATCCAGTTTGTTTCATTTTAGCTAACTGAATATTGCTTTTTAACCATTTTCATACTTTGTTAGTGAACAGTTTTTACAATGAACATATTCTAATTTGAAATAGAAATTAAATAGAATCAAATATTTGAATTGCATATAAAAAAATTCCATCTATTTAGATTACATTGCTTTGATATAAACTTAATGTGTTATATTAATGTGATTGTATTTGTCAGTGATACATAAATGAAACCGGTCAGATTTCTGGAAAAGTAAACTGAATGCAGGGGTGTGGGAAGATGTTTTCGGTTGGGGGTGCTGTGTGGGCTGGTTCACTTACGTCGGTGCTCATGCTGGGGCTGGTGTTGTTTGGATGCCAATTTTGGAAAGTTTTTGCTGGGATGGGCATTTAAAAAAATCTGAAATTCGCTTTTGCGCCATTATCTCCTTGTATTAAAGTTAATCTTGTTCGCATTCTGTACAGTTCATGTCTGATACCACACGCTAGCGTCACGTGTTCATGAGGATTAGGCTAATCATCCCATATAGAAAACATCACAAGTAAAATTAATCATGTTTATAAAGATGAACATGGGTTTATTATGGCCCACTTACAATTTACATTTCAGAGATCATTACAAATAAATTATTAAATGCTAAAACTGAATAAATTTAAATGAACAAACTTGGCGTTGCATTTGCAACCATGTGAAAACAAACTACTTCCTGCATCCCTGTGTGCGGGGCTACTTTTTTTTTTCACTAATCACATCCACATCCAGCATTTTTCTTTACTCTAAATGTAAATGTTAACATTTAACATTGTTTATTTATTTTGTATTTATATTTTTAAATGATCTCTATCTTTCAGGTGGGCTGGCAGTTGAAGAATTTGGTTAACTGTCTCCGTGAGGATCCAAGTGGAGTCATCCTCACGCTGAAGAAGAGGCCACAGAACACTCTGGGCTCTACTCCTGCACTGCTGAAGAACGCCCGCTGGAAACCACTTGCCCTGCAGGTGTGTGTGTGTTTGTGTGTGTCAGAATAGTTCAATGTGTTTGTTCAAGTGTATCCATTTAATATGTAGTGTTTGCGAGTGTGTGTGTGTGTGTATGAGCATATCTCAGAGCAGTGAATGAGTTCTGTACGGCTTGTTGCCATGGCAGCCAGAGTTCTGTGGTTGCTCTGGATACAAGTATCAGACAGATGCAGTTAAAGCTTGCACATGTGTCCTCTCCTCACAGTCACGACACACTGGAGCGGAGTGGACCTTCACTCATGAATGAATCCACATTGGTGATTTGAAGGACCTAATGCTTATTGACATAATTACAGATAAACCTGCGGTGAAACAGGATTTTAAATCCTTTCTGAATGAATAAATATACAGTTAAAGAGTGGATATACACTTGTGAATTACTGAATGGAGATGGCACTATAAATGACTGGCTGAAAATGACTAAAGAATAAAAGGACATGTACTTATATGTTTACATGCAATAAAACAATGCCCACTTATAACTGATAATGATAAATCGATCAGCGTTTTTATGTAAGTTTCTCCTTCCTCTTGTTGCCGGGTTGCTGTCTGCTGCTTGTTGCTATGCTTTTCCTCATTGCTAACTGACTGATGCAGTACTCATGGTTGCTAAGGGCAACACTATCCTCATTTTTGAAACACACTCTTGGTCCTCTATTAGTTAAAGATCTTTAGACGCGTGTGTGTGACCAATTACTGCCCTGCCCCCTAGTGAAACTAACTGCACAAGACTAACATACTGTTCGTGACTACATTTGAAAATATGTTTTTGCCTGAATACTTACATAAGCCATCATGAGAAATATTGGATGTTCTGTCTCATGTTTGTATGTTTTAATAGTGGATTTTCGTGTAACTCTTTTCCCTTACATTAATGTAATAACAAAAAAGTGTCATTAGCTTTATACTGAGGCTATTTTGTGCATGTTTTTGATTGACAGCCGCTGTCCACCAGTCCATGCAGTGGTTCTCCCACCCCACCCAGCACGCTCGGGTCAGTGGGCCTCTCACCTGGAGTCGACACACCTGGGGGACATGATGTTTTTATTCTTTCCCCTGTCTACGGACACAGGTATTCACAAATGAAATACAGGATGTACTCAAAACGGTTAGTTTCTTTCAGCATGTTGGTGTAATTGTATTTTCTTTCTTTGGCTCTTGTTCATTTAGAGAGGAAGATCTGGATCGGGGTGGATTTGGTGTGTTTGGCTCGGATTCTCCAGGGTATTATGTAGAACAGGAGATAATGGGGGGTCAGTACTTCCCCCTCCTTGAAGAGGATTCTGGGAGAAATACCGGGCTGCGACGCAGAGACCGGACCCCAACTCACAGTAAGAAGATCCAATTGGAATATGCAAATATGCAAACCGATATATTGACAGGTAAACAGATTTTCAAATTTTGATTATGGTTAATTTAAACCTTTACTTGTTAAAAAATGAATATTGTTGTAAAAAAATTTTATTAATTAAGCACACACCCAACCCCCAGTTCTTTTTAGTGTAAATTTCCATTTATTTTCCATTTATTTAATCATGTACAGTACACATTAATAATACATAAAACTAATGTAAAATGCACGTTTTAATTTGTAGTTGATATAAAATAATAATAATAATTTATACACACACACACACACACACACATACACACACAGAGTGGGTATAGAAAATAATTACCCCCCTTTAAAATAATCAAGAAGTTGGTAATTATTTTTATGACATGTTGGTGTTTTATGCTTCACTAAGATGTTATAAGTTTCACAGCTGTAAATACAGCTGGATAAAACAAAAACTGTGTCCATCTTCATTTCAGGCTGCAAAGCAACTAAATGTGAATATATATATACTATTATATTATATCAAAGACATATATTACAAAAAAAGTCCACTGTGCAAGTGAAAAGTATTTGTTTATTTGTTTGTACTGAATTAATTTATGCTGGTTTTAATTAAAAACATTATTGTGTCTGGACTTTATGATTTTGATTGCTGTATTACAGTTTGAATTTAAATGATTGGTCAGTAAATATTATTATCTGTTTCTAAATTAACTTGTTACTGTCCTAATTCATATACATAAGGTACTTTCAATTCAGAACAACATACTATTATGGTGCATACTGTCTCTATACACTACATACAGAATACTGCATTATTTGTTTTAAATAATATATGAAACAGTGCAGAGTTTCTAACCATAAAATGTATTGTTGGAAACTGTGCACTGTTTCATATATTATTAAATAAACCATTGTATGCTTATGTGAAGTTACACAGCATACATCTTACATCATGTCTGGATGGCCATTTTTTAAGCCAGACATAGACACAGTGCATTACAGGAGATTAAGCCACTAGGGAGCTCCGGCTTTAAACTGCAAATCTCAGCTATTTAGTATGTTGCAGTTGCACTACTACATGCACTAACACACACCGAGAGAATATATGAAAGATGCTCTGAAATACACCAGCACACACTTAAATGTTGTATGGCTCTGCCTCTAGGTGACATCCGACAGGTTTCCATGGGAACTGACTGGCTGGCAGAGCCTCAAGAATCTGGAGTTTACAAAAGAGGTAGCAGAGGTGATGATTTTACTACTATTTTACTACTTTTTACTCCACTGGCACCAAATTGTACTTTAAAACTTTGCAACTTTTAATCGTTACATTATAGCTTTTCATTAATGTGACTTTTTTTTTTCATTATTTACATTTATATTCATTTAGCAGACGCTTTTATCCAAAGTGACTTATAAATGAGGACAATAAAAGCAATCAAAACCAACAAAAGGGCAATAATATGTAAGTGCTGTGACAAGTCTTGGTTAGCCTAATGCAGTACATGTAGCAAGTTTTTTTTTAATTTTTTTTAATAATAGAATAGAAAAAGAATAGAGAATGCTAGTTTTATCAAGGAAATTAAAAGTGGTTTACTCAAAAATGCCATTAACAGTTCTGATTTTTTTAAAATGATCCTGTTGACCTCTGTGAGGATTTTAGTTCAGAGCTCAGTGTCAGTAATGTTAGGCTAACATAAATGCTCCATCTCTAATGCCTATAGTATCAGTAGGAAAGAGAGGGGTAGGTTTCCCACTCATATTTCTATGGAAATATAGCTACACAATTTTCTTGCCATATATTCGGGAATTTCCCATTGTAGTCAGAGATCTGTGACTATAAAAAAAATCACATATTATATGCCAAACATGTGCTTGTTAATACATGAATGTGTTAGGAGCTGCTTCTTGTTAACTAAAACTTAGTCAATCAGCATCATCTGGCATAGTTGCATATCCTCGCATTTGACATTAGTGTGAAATACTATTGTAGTGTAAGTTGATTTCACAAGCATCTGTGAAAAACGTAAATGTCACAGAACTATAGAACTGACATTTCAGAGCGCCAAATCAGAGAATACAAAGCTGTAAGGTGGTGACTTTGTTCTAGTGAACTCTGCAACCAAAAGCAGGAAATACCGTTACATAGGCTTATCTGTCAAAGTTGAGGGTAGCAAAGGGACAAATTTCTTTGACGAAGCCACCTAAGATTCAGAAAGCTGGAGGAACTGCAAACAAACATTACCGCTGCCTTTGGTTGTTCAGTACAGTGTAACTTTTTTCTGAATGTATTTTAATTAGAACAATATTGTGTTTAAAAAAATTATAATAAAAAAAACAACAACAATAACAGAACAGTTTGACCATATTAGAGGGTTCTCTCTGTTTGAAATTAATTTTTTTATGCTGCTGCTTGAAACTTACAACAGTCCATTAATGTAGATTAGCACCTTCACATGATAATAATAATAAAAAGGTTTCACCCAAAAAATTATATGTAAACTCTATATTTAATTAGTAGGCCTAACTAATCTCTAATTAGTAACTTTCAGCTGAAATCTAATTTTAGCTGATATTTTTCATCTTTACTAACAGTTCCTAATGTGTGAGTGCTAATCTAGTTTATCTTAAGGTTCTAACTTGATGTGTGAAAAACAGAACGTTGTCAATGACAGTAACCAACTTTACTTTCTGGTTTTTGGGATGTGAAAGGTGATATGTAAACATGTAAAATTACTAATTTATTACTTCCTTTCTTTTTTGTGGAAACACAACTCTAAGAATAGAACAGAGAATGTGTAGGTGACATTGGCACAGATATAAATAGAAAGCAAACCTCCTTGAGGGGAAATAAACCTCTAAAACCTCACACACACAGGAAGGTGTCAGAGCAGCTTCATGCTGTGGCAGCTGAAGTCATGAAGAGTTGAATATTTAGCAATACCCTCATTTTCTGCTACACGTTCCCATTATAATGTTTTTTCGCTCAGAATGTGACTCACTGGTTGGTGTCTGTCTTTCCCCATCAGATTCTGATTCCTCCCTCTTGCGGTTCCTCAGTGATGACAGGATTTTGTTGATCCAGGAAGAGGCAGAGTTTTCCCAGCGTGACACGAGCAGGCGATCCAGGAAGAAGAGCCGAAATCCCAGCAGTCCCAGTTTTCCCATTAGTCCCTCTATGCTTGCCCCGCCTGTCCGTCTGGACACAGGTCCCCCCGAGGGGCTACCTTTCCCCGTGCCCGACTCTAACACAATGCCACACTACCATGTAAGGGAAATGTTGAATCTGATCTGAGCTATGGCTGTTCCCACACAATTGTATAATTGGATGGTTTGATGTCGGTCAACATTGGTTTGGTCTTTAAATATTAGTGCTTTAACTTAGAAGCATATCAAACATTCTGACATGTACATTTGTTTAATAAAAAATTTAAAACCTGCTTCATCTAGTGACATACTAATTATTAATACAAAATTTGATCATGTGATTGTACACGCGCGCACACACACACTCTCACACGTCTTTTGAACAGTAGTTTCTTTTCATAACACAGAACAGGAAATTCAAATCTGTCTTCCTCTCTGTCTCTCTTTGTCATTCTGTTCCTTGCCCCAGAGAGCTGCAGACACACTTCGAGCAGATGCTGATAGGTAAGTAAAATTCATACCTTCCTTAATTTATCATATTTGTTTGTATTATTTAATTATTATCCCCTGGGGTTGACTTGTTAGCACAAAGAGTAAAGATTACGGCTAAAAAGGCTTTGTCCTCAATAATATATCAATCTGCCCTGCCATATGTCACTCAAATGGTTTAAATCGAACTGAATAACTTTCAGCCTCTGATTCCCATCACTGAGCTTATCCAGAAAGGTTTCCATGGCGGCAGGTGCTACACATGGCCAGATGTGTAGGTGCTCTAACAAAGCACAAGGTTTGCTGGATTTCCCCATATTTTATTTTTTATCATTAGAGCTTCTGGTGTTAGGATTAACAGTATCAATTCTGTTTCCTCCTGCTTCCGCCTGACTGTGAATGGACTGGCCAAGATTCTGAGCATAGAGTTGATGTCATTGATGTGTAAATCAGAATCAGAATGAGCTTTATTCGCCATGTGTGTGCAAACACACACGGAATTAGTTGTGTTTTTTTAGGAGCTAATAATAATAATAATTTATTTATTTTTAGGAGCTAATTATAAAAATGTGGTATACATCTGGAACAGAAGATTTATGTACAGATTTGTACATTATTTACTGTAAATACAGATGTATATATAAAAACATGTATATGTATTTACATATACTTGAGAGAAAGGCAATAATTATTACGAAATGAATTACAGAAGTCATTTCTGGGTTAGCTTTTTAAGCTGGAGATGGCATGAGGGAAAAACTGTTTTTATGCCTAGATGTTCTAGTGCACAGAGATTTGTAGCGTCTGCCTGAGGGGAGAAGTGCAAACAGGTTGTGGCTGGGGTGAGAGGGGTCTATGATGATGTAACCTGTCCGTTTCTTCACTCTGGAGTTGTACAAGTCCTGAAGGTTGGGCAGGTGCACACCAATTATCCTTTCAAGCTGTTCTAACAGTCCGCTGCAGTCTTCTTATATCTGATTTGCTGGCTGACTCAAACCAGACAGTTATAGAAGTGCACAGAAAAGTAAAACTGTGTCACATGTGCCTGTGGAAGGTTGAACTTTTTCAGTTGACAAAGGAAGTACAACATCTATGTGGCTGGTTATATGTCAATTGTAAGTTTTTTTTACATCATAACCCCAAGCATCTAAGAATTAGATGTTTTTGGAGACTAATAATCAATAAATCAACTTTTTTTTTTTTTGGACTGGTGAGCAGGTTTTGAGTTTTTAAAGTGACAGCATGCCGTCTTAGTACTACAATCAATGCCAAAAAATGATGGGGAGTTTGATTCCTTATGATATGACCTCTTTAAACATAAAGCCTTTGAACTGGTTCAAAATCAGCATTCAAAGAGTTTTATGTTTGTTGATTTACAGACGAACAAGATGCTGCTCACACTTTTGTTTGAGCACACAACAGTCACCACAGTGACAATCCTAATGAACTGCCGTTTCTTTAAAAATGAGGAACAGAAATTCCTTGGCTGCAGTTTTAAGGAGGATTTTATTTCCTCTGTGACTGAACTGTAAGAGTCTGTGGAGTCTGATGCTGTGGAACGATCTCTATTTCTCTGCCGTTACGATGCATATAGAGAATTAGATAAAAGAGCATTGTCTGGGTGGCTGAGGTTTAGTTATCGTCCTTAGTACTATTTAAAAATATTGTGTGTTTGAGGGTGTGTATGAGCATGAGCAGCTGTGCTAGGGCGGTTTCAGTTAGAATAAGTTATGAAGTTAACCTCAAACATCAGCATCCTGTCCACTACCTGTGCCTTTGTTTGAGTTAAATAGGCAAGAACATTTTTTTATTAATTAATATTTCTTTATTCTTGCTGCAGGTGGAATCATAAAGTACACTGCTATGCTCAGGCAGTTCTAATAACCACATAATTCAAATGTTATTGAAAACGGAACTTACTCTCTTCTTGTCTGACTGTCTCATTGTCTTTCTCCTGTTGTTTCTTTCTTTCTCTCTCATTCTCTCTCTACAGATATGCCAGTTCAGGACTTGACCGACAAGCAGGGGCATCAATGAGGAAGGTAAACCACAAGCACAGTTACAGCATCAGTAGTGGTAATGAGAATACATAGTGTTGGGAACGAGTGCTACAGATACAATTTTCAGTAGATTTGATTTGATTATTATTTTATTTTATTTTGCTGGAGAAAATCTTTATTGATTGGAGAATTTTTATTTGCAATATGGCAACAAAAACAGTGTTGCTGTAGATAGAAATTAGTTAATGAACATCAGTTTTTTCATGATATTATTCAGGTTTGGACTTCATACAATTAAAGTACATTTTTCAATATTAGGATCAACATATGTTTTAGTTTTTTAATATTTATGATATTATCTGTTATATTCCTATATTTATTGTTGATTATATTAATAATTATGATATACAGTATGTAAAGAGGGATCGTTTGTTTGTTATAGAATTTCATAAAGATTCTTTCGATATAGAAATCCTCACAGATTTGGTTTATGAGAATGATGCAAGCAATTCTTTCTTCCTTATGTGTCCTTCTTCTCTCTCTAGTCTGTACATTATGCCTCTCTGAGGACCAAGCCCAAGAAAAAGAGCAAAGGTACAATGATAAGATGCATACAAGCGCCTGGGTTTACCTTGAGTGCATGGGTTGTGTGTTGTGTTGCAGTGTGTTGTAATTGTCAAGAAGAATATAAACTGTGATCATTTATCATAATGTTATTCTGTCGTTTAATATGCTATGTGTGTGTGTGTGTAGGGTCCCTCAGTAGTGCCAGCAGGAGGCGTATTGCCTGCAAAGATCTGGGTCATGGTGACTGTGAAGGCTGGCTATGGAAAAAGAAAGACGCCACTGGCTACTTCACGCAGAAATGGAAAAAGTACTGGTTCGTTCTCAAAGACTCCAACCTGTACTGGTACACCAATCAGAACGTAAGCAAACAAACACAATTCCCTTCTCTTGGGTTGTATGTACGGCTATATGAAAGCGTGTAGAGTCCATCTTTTACCCATTTCTACTCGAAATATTTCTGGTATCTGAAACAGCTCAACAGTTCCACATCCAGCTTGTTAATCTCTACTATTATTACTAATTACACAATTATCAACAGTTTCATTACGTGCTGCCTTCATTGATGGCCTGGTCACAAGCTCACGAACCTGAGAGTGATGTTTAGTTTTCTACGTTTTCCACATTAAAATGTCCATCACATGTTCATCTCTTAGTTTTAGAGATGGTGAAAAGCACATCTGTGCATTTATACTATCATGTAACTGCCGTAGTTATGATGTGGACATGATTTCTCTTGTTCTTTATTTCTTTGCACAGGATGAGAAAGCAGAGGGCTTCATCAGTTTGCCAGAGTTTCGGATAGACAGAGCGATTGAATGCAGGAGGAAACAGTGAGTGTCAGAAGACAACAATAATAACTCTTTCTCTCTATTGTGTTGGGTTTGCTGGTTTTTGGGTGGGTCTGTGTTTGAAACCTATCGGCTAGTGGAATCTGGGTCACTGCAGAACTGCTGATCTTTCTTTTACAAACATACACACACACACACACACACACAGATTGTAAACTAGATATGTGTATCTGAACATCTCTTTTTCTTTGTCTTTTTTGTTTCAGTGCCTTCAAAGCATGTCATCCTAAAATTAAGAGTTTCTTTTTTGCTACAGATCATTTAGAGGAGATGAACAGGTAAGCCGTTTCAGAGCCCCTTCAGACAGCAGCTCCCCACCCTGTAATTTCCTCTCACATCTATGTTTCCTGTTTCAGGTGGATGAATCGTTTAGGCTTGGCTGCGATTGGCTACACGCCTGATGATCCGGTACCGCGTCCTGATGAAGGTGAGATCACATCCTGTGATGATATCATAAGCCCATTGTGCGGTGATCTCACTGACTCTAGTTTTACACCACTCCATTGTACTGTAAGCTGTTGAAAAGCATAGTAATAAACTATGATGTCATGTATACATGATTCTGATCACAATTTTTTGGTATAGATTACTGGAGTGAGAGTGACCAGGATGAGGTTGATGGGTCTATGACACTCAAACAGGAAGCCACTTACCACCACAACCCCTCTGTGAGTATAAATTCACGTCTAAGTACACATATGCATATATTCAGCCCGAAACACTCGCTTTCATTTTCTTTAACACAGTCACACACATACCCATTTTCTACTGCCACACTGTCACGATACTGGTTCTGGAGCCTGTTAACAATTTCCACTTAAACCTCAAATCAGGAACCAGTAAAATCAGAAGTCCTGTGTCAGGATAATGTCTCGACCATGTTCTTTTTTTTCAAATGTGCAAAACAAAACTGCATGGCACAAATCTAGGTTCCTTCTCTGAGAATGAACAAATCTAATAACCCAGTACATCACTTCATTCCTATTCCTTTTCATTCCAACCATTTCCCCCCCTTCTGTCTGAAATGATTTTTAAATTGATTTCTTTGAATTTATTTGTTACATAGAATATTTACAACTTCATAGTAAAACTTATATATTTTATACAGTATTTATTTTTCTTTAATTTATTATTAATGATTTTATTTTATTTTTTTAATTACCAAGCCCAAACATTTGAATGGTAGTGTACATTACATTGAAGCCAGCTCATAATGATGGCATAAAGATGTTAAATTACATTATTTCAGATGAGAAAATAAGTTGCAAACAAAGACTGATTTGCCATGCTTGTTTTTTGGCAATATATGACGTAACATAGTCAGTTTTGTCCATTTTTGGCTCACAGAGAGGTTTGCTGAGCACCGGCTCCCACACCAGCACCATATTGGTGGTAAACGAATAGCGAACTGACTCTGTCGCTCTCCCTGACAGCTGACAATGATAATGACCAGTGTTTCTTTTGTCCTCAGGGAACTTCGTCCAGTCCATTTCCTGAGCGCCATTTTTCCAGTGGCTCCACATTCTCGCATTCCTCCACTGAGGAGTCCCATTCTTCCTGCAGATCCTCCCATCGAGAACGCCGCTCATGGCAGGACCTGATTGAAACCCCCTTGACCAGCACAGGTCTACACTACCTGCAGACCGCAGAAGAGGAGGAGCCAGCACTGCTGCCACCTGATCATCATCGACAGGCCACGCTCCCCGCCCAGCACCGGCGTCCTCTGGAACGTGACGGGCCGTTTCCGTTGACGGACAGCGAAGAGTCCCGGCCTCACCATCACACTCACAAGCAGCGTAGTCAGAGCCTCCCACGCCACCGCGACACACACGGACACTCGCACCGCAGCACTCGTACGCACACTCACACACACGGCACTCTGAGGCCAAGAACTCATCTCCATGAGGAAGAGGAGGAGGAAGAAGAGGAGGAAAAGCAGGTTCGGAAATCTAGAAGCAGGAAACCTGAGAGCGAAGAGAAAGTGTATGATGGCACGGATGGCCTGAAGGAGCTGTACCGATCGCTGGAGCAGGCCAGTCTCTCGGCTTTTGGCCAACAAAGGCCTTCCACCAAACAAGAGTTCAGACGCTCCTTCAACAAACGCAGCAATGACCCCACCACAAATGAACGACTGCACCGCATACGGGTTCTCCGCTCCACGCTAAAGGTACGCAAACACAGAAAGCACTTGACTTTTTTTTATACTTTTGGGTTTGGAACGTGGAAGTAAACTATAACAGGGTAGACTTCTATTATAAACCCCACTGCAGTAATGTTTTTGTAAATGAATGCAGTGTAACAAAATATAGTGCTAGTACACTACTGTGGCAAAAGTTTGGTATCTGTAATGTTTTTAAAAGTTTCTTATGCTCACCAAGGTTGCATTTATTTGATAAAATATTATTCCATTTAAAATTTTTCTATTTTAAAGGATTTTTATAATGCAATTTATTCCTGTGATAGTGATGGTAAAAAAGAACAGCATTTTGATCAAATTAATGCATCCTTGCTTAATAAAACTTTTTTTTTTTTTTTTAAATCGCACTAACCCAAAGTGTTTGAATGGTATTATACATTACCATTTTTAAAAAAGGAAATAGAAAAAAAAATATTATTGCAGAAATGCCATCAGTCTGAATAGGTCAAAGTTCAAATCTGTAAAATGAACTTAGAATTTATCGCCTCTAATGGACAATTCTAGAGGCTCTCCATAAAAATGTAGCAAGACTAAGACATTGTCAGCTGCCATCAAGGTGTAGGAACTATCTGAAAAGTAAAAATGATGTTTTAAACCTTATTAGCTTACCTCATGAATATTAATTAGATGACTTAATGTTTGTTTAGTAGTGTTAACTGAACTTTCTGAAAGGCTTACCTTTCACATTCTTTCCATGCACTAGCGGTTGACAAAAGCATCTGCTTGGTCTTAAGCCACTGTTTTATGCACCTGGCTGCTATTTCCAAGGCAAAGGGAAACTCCTAAAATATAATAATTATTTGTAAAAGCTAAACCAATTACACTAGTTGCTACTCCCCTGGCAGCTGATATTTGTTAAAACTTGTTTTTTTGACGTTTCAGTTAAACGGTCTTGAAGAATGATCCAATCAAATGCTTTTTTTAAATACAAAGAATAATTTAGATTAATCTAGAATTCTAAGAGTCAATTTTCAACCTCTCTCTTCCCCTTCACCAACAGGCAAAGGAGGGCGACTTGGCAATAATCAGTCATTTGCTGGACGACCCTTGTTTGACCTCAAGGAAGTTTCGTGAATGGAAGCAACGTAACCACGAGCTCTTCCTGGATATCTGTGAGTTCAGCTCTGCTCCATTGGAACTGCCCAGCGAGTCCAACGACCTTTCACCTCTCTCGCCAACGCTGATGATGCATACTCACTCTTTCATAGAAACGCACGTGTGAGACACAGTCACGCACCCACATGACTAACAAACAGTCACATGCTAAAATACAGACATAAAGGTATATGAATAACATGAGTTGTGCATTTCAAACCCACATACACATACATACACTTTGAAAAACACTGTGGATCCAGACGGTCTTCACTTTTTCCTCGACGGATGACCTGATACTGCCCTCCTTCCGACCGTGAGTGACAACAGATTGAACCAATACACTGTAAGATCAATGTCAAAGAACTGACTCAGCCTCCAGAACTACTGCAGACAGACACGCAGGCACTGAATCCGAAAGGTGACTCAAACTGCTCGTCATGGAAGCGAAAGTGTTACCTGCACATTTACTCACTGCAAACTCTGTACAATATATTTCATCACAGCCACATTTTGAGACTGATGGAAGAAAGGCCCCGTGAGGTGCCCACTGCATGCTTCAAGAATCATCTTTTCAGATTAATTGACTACATGTTGAACAAAATAGGACCGTATATAAAAAGGAAATCTTTTATTTTTCTCTTTGATTGGAGTAAAAACAAAAAACTTTCTTTTATATCTTTTGATGATTTTGTTTATTTTTTAATTTAATTTCTTTCTCTTTTTTTTGGGATTTCTTTCCCTCGGAATGCTGCAGGAAGAGCACTCATGTAGCCATGGGCAACAGGCTTCACTCTGTTACCAAGCAACACCGCCCTACTGTGTTACTCTATAAAACTCTCAAAGCAAGCAAGAGTGTTGGAGAGTGTGTGCGTGTATGTGTGTATGTGTGTGCGTATGTGTGTGTGTATTAGAGAAATGAGAGAAAGACAGAAAACGAGTCAGATGGATGCGGAAGAGTCTCTTTTTGACAGTTTGATGACATTTGCATTCGCATATGGGAAAAGATGAACTCCTGGCAGGTAGTAACATGTTTAATTTGGCTTCTTTAGAATATTTATATTATAGCTAAACTCATGCATGGTTTAAAAAAGTATTACTATATGCTATCAGGCCAGAGAACAGTCTGTATATAAGAACCTATTATTTGCATAGCTGCATCATCTGTTTAAAACTGTGAATTGTACTCGTGAATGCAATCTTTTGACTCTGCGAACGCGGAACCTTTCTACTCTCTATTTTTTTCTACACAAAAAGATAACAGAAGATGAAAAGCTTTGCTTCTCTGATGTTATGACTGTTTTTGCTTGTTTCCGGGTCTTTGCTGGTCATTACCTCTGAGCTATGGGCTACATTCAGGTTGTTCGTTTCTGTTTGCTAATGTACGTGTCCCTTAGACAGACTCCACAAGCCTAAAGCGAACGTTTCATTCCCTTTCGCAATTCTAGACATCAGTGGCTCAGGATTCTAGAATTGGTTAAAGTCACATGGGAGAGAATTTGAGGTTAAAATACAAAAATCAATTGGTTCATTCGGTGGAGTGCAAAATGTCCCCTTTCTAAATGTTGTTCTCATTTGTCCACATTAAGAAGTCATTGAGACACATTGTTTTTAAACACAGCCCTGCATATGTGCTCAGTGTTACAGTTATGTTTGTCACTTTTTAGAATCTTGTGGGATGTATTTTAATTGAATAGAATGTACTCATTCAATGGCTTGTTCATTGTAACAAACACACACACTACCCACACACAGACAATACTTTACGTCCGTTGTTGATGCTTTCTTACCAAAGCGACTCTCAAAATCACATCTGCCCATTGCAGTTACCTTTTTAATGATTCTTTTTATGTAGAATGTTACACTTCACTGTGTTTCATCCCATGATGTTTGTGTGTGTGAGTGAGTGAGTGAGTGTGTGTTATCCAGGCCATCGGGGTTTCACTGTGGTTTTAAGGGCATGTCCCCCCCTCTCTCCCCCACACGGCTATGCTGTATAAGGTGTAAGTTGCACTGCAACATTGAGACGGAACATATTGCTCTTTTTTCAAGGTTTTCATTCAAAAATTCCCCTTCTGTATATTAAAACACCAGGAAGAGCCTGATATTTAATCACAGTATTATTCAAAGCTAACCTTCTTTGCTTTCAGAAATATAAATACATATATAAATATATATATATATATATATATATATAATACAGATTGTAAAATGTTAAACTAATAAACTGAGTTCTCTGCATTTGTGTTTTGTGATGCTTCCAATGTCCAGTGAAATCTCAAGCTGAAACGCACCTTAGTATCGATATTTTTTGTTTGAGTATACTCGCGTCAGTATCGATATATCGATACTTTGGATCGATACGCCCATCCCTAGTCCTACTCGCTTTTCTGAAACGAGACAGTCTCGATGACTTACGCAGCCTTCTGAATGAGACGCAGCTACACCATTTCTGATATACATCCACTGACATGCAATACCAATATGGATTGGTTTACTAAAGATTTCATGGGTTTTGATGGCTTTCTTGTCAAAAGCAAGATCTTTACCACCAAACCAACATAATTTAGATAATAGGCTACACTAACACTTTGCAATGTTAATACTGAACTACTGCACGCCAAACAATATTGGCATGGCGGCCCAAAGAAATAGCCTATTCAGCAGACATAAAAATGTAAAATACACTTTACTCACTCGATTTAGTTGCAGTCTCCGGCCTTCTTTTCGTCAAATTCATCCACAATGTCCATGCGACTAACTTCTCCACCTCTTTTTCCTCTTTAAGGCACCACTTTTGTGCTCGTATTTGTTGTCATTAACGCTTTATTTTTTTAAACGGCCAAATCCAAGTACGGAGCCCTGCACATGACATACGGAAAAAATATATATATCTACCGTTACCGTTTATCAGGGGCGTTGCCCACATGTTCTGGATACTGAGCTGACCACATCTTTGAGGCTTTATCTGAAATTAAAGTAATTTATTTGTTTACATTACATGTGGATAAATGACCAACTGGAGCTGCACCTGCACGATTCTGGATAAACTGAGAATGGAGATTCTCGATTATCATATATCATTATCATTACATATTATTTATATAATAATAACAATAATTCATCTGTCTTATGGCATAATTGGGGCATTTATTATTATTATTATTATTAAATATATTATTTATATAATAAACTAATAGCCTAAATTTGGTATTTATTATTATTATTATTATTATTATTATGAGAACCCCATCAGGAATATTCTCTCGCGTTTCTTTCAGGACTCCTCCCGCTTTCCGTAGTGAGACCGAAGGGGGCGGGACCGGCATGGCGGCCAAGGTGAGTTACACTTCCAACTGAGTTAGTTCAAGTGATCGTGTGTATTATTTTATAATATGTGCATTCTGCAGAATAGTTTCACACATCTTGACAAGTATCATTTTTCATGATTTGCTTGATGCAGCTGTTAATCAGCGTGTGAGCACGTGTTTGTTAAACCAGAGCGGAGAACATGCTGTTCCTAAACTCACTCTCACACACTAATAATCACTCACTGGCTATGGCTTACTACATAATCTGTTGCCTAGACATCGCTCTGAGGCACCTGTCTTTAGTCAGGCAGCTGACTCGGTTTTGGTTTTGAGAGATGGCATTCTCTCTGTCACTCATAGTAATAGGATAGGGATTATAAAGCGTCTTCTCTTGATTCAGTCCATTAAACTAATACAGATAATGTGCTTAAGGGAAAATCAAGGAGCTGAAACGGGGAAAACACTCAGGCAGGCCAAAGCTGATAGTTATTATAGTTATTATACTACAGACGTTCACAGAAAACTACACAACACATACAAAAAATGTTTTGTATATGAACCATGGTAGTACCATTTAAATATTATGGTATATGAATATGCAATCATTTATGGTATACATCATGATATTATGATAAACAACAGAAGTCAGTCTGTATTATGAAACTGTTGTGTTGATCCTCAGATTCTGAAGTATGCAGCGCTTCCTGCTGCTGCCGTTGCAGGGGGTCTGGGCTCATTCAGAATTTATTCCATAAATGAGAAAATAAATGAGGAGCTAATATCTCCAAGAGAGGTGAGAGAATCATATTTGGAATGGTATATATACCATACTGTAAGTACTGTTTTTGTAGTATGTATGTGGTGTGCAATATGTTAATTTCCTGTGTGCATGGAATACCTGAGTGACCTACTACATTTACCAAAATATGTAACAATGTACCATACTATTGTTTGAAATGTTTGTAGAAAGTGCAAGTCAATTTATACTTCAATTCAAAAGTGTGGGGCCTGTAATTTATCAAGGATGCATTAAATAGATCAAAAGTGACAGTAAAGACATTGTAATGTTACAAAATATTTTTTTTCGAAATAAATGCCATTCTTTTGAATTTTATATTAATCAAAGAATCCTGAAGAATGTATCGCCGTTTATACAAATTCTAAAGCAGCTCAACTGTTTTCATCATTGATTATAATAAGAAATGTTACTTGAGCAGCAAATCAACATATTAGAATGATTTCAGAAGAATTATGTGACACAGAAGACTGGAGTATTGGCTGCTGAAAATTCGACTTGGCATTCACAGGAATAAATTACATTTTAAAATATATTAAAATATAAAACAGTGATTTTAAATGGTAAATTGTAATAATTTTTCACAATATTACTGTTTTTACTGTACTTGTGAAAAATCTTACTGACCCCAAACTTTTGAATGGTAGTGTATGTGAAGTAATACATGTTAAATATATCACCATGACCTCTCTCTCTCTCTCTTTTCTGCCTCTGTCTAGTTGTCTATCTACTCCCCAGATGGTCCTGCTGTGCAGTTTGTGGAGGAACAGCCTGGTATAGTGCAGACAGGGCTGGGGGCCGTGAGGGTGGGCCTGCAGCCATACGTCAGAGCCGTGCAGGTGTGTTCAGTCACACTGTGATAAGGAATTAATTTGTCATTGAAGAAGTGAGTTTATGAAAGATGATCTGTTCTTGTTTTTATAGAGCACCATCAATTCAGTCAAAGTTGGAGTGATATCGGTTTACCATGCAGGGCAAGGTAAGCCTGATGTGTGCGAGTGAGTGAGCAAGAGGGAGGGAGGAAATTACTGTAAACCTGACCTTTAACCCCTGACTTTCTCTGGTTTTAGACACATATCACTTCCTTCGAGATCCACCCCCTGGCTTCCTGCCTAGAGTGGGTGTCATCAGTGTGTCCGGATTGGGTGGCCTGATTCTGGCACGCAAGGGTAGGCTGAGCATGCAGTTGCTTTGAGCTGTCTTACTGTTTAAAGTGATTAGGAAGCTATATCTGTGTGAATGCATGCTTTTGCCCAGGCTCTCGTTTAAAGAGGATTGTTGTTCCTCTTGGTCTGGCTACCACTGGTACTGCAGTATGTTACCCCACACAGACCGTGGGAGTCCTGAAGGTACATTCTATCTCTCGCTCGCTCTCAAAAAAAAAAAGTATATATATATATATATATTGCAAGGGTGTAATGCAGCGTCTATGGGGGTGACGGTAAATGTGATGTTGTTCTCTCTTCTGACTGCGGTTAGAAGTCTCTCTCTATTTTCTTCCTATTTTTGAAAGTAATAAAAACATTATCGTGGAGTTTTTATTTAGCTATTTGAGCAAATGTGAATGCAAAAAAATATATATGTTTGTCGTAGTCTTCCATTCTGTGACGATTTCCGCTGCTGAGAAACCGGTGTATATATATATATATATATATATACACTTGATGTTAATTTCTCCCAGACCTAGGAAATCATTTCTTATATACTTTCAAATATATCACTTTCGCACTCTTTTTTTATAGATTACTGGTAAAAAGGTGTATGCTGTCAGTTCATCTGTTGCTTCAATATTTAAATCGAAACCAAAGGAAGATGTCATCACGCCTGCTGTTAATGTGGAGGTAATCTACAAAGTTGCATATTAAAACCCAAGTTATATTGGTTTTTATGGTTAAGTGTCTGCTAAATGTAACAGTGCAAATGCAAATTTAAGGGGCTTAAAGTCAGCGTGAAATGAAAATTCACCCAATCTATTTTCTAAATGCATGTTATTGATAACATGCAAATTTGCACATAATATTGTACATGCAATATATGTACATGCAAAACTGTCTATTGTAATATACCTGCACATACAATTGACAATTTATATATTGTTATTCCTTATTAACTTGTTCTATTTTTTATTTCTTTTCTATTCTTTTATTATCTGTTTGTTCTGTCACTGTCATTCTGTTGCACTGAGGAAGCTTCTGTCATGAAAACAAATTCCTCATATGTGAAAACATACCTGGCAATAAAGCTCATTCTGATTCTGATAATATTGTGAACAATTACATTTTTCATAACATGATCTTTGTGTAATCGGCGGATTTCTTTCTGGTTATGTATGACAGATTTTCCAATCGTTAAGTCTGCTTAAACCCTGCCCCTTTTTCACAATCAACCCATATTCTCATTCAGATTTGCCATCCAATCAACAACTAATGCATAGAACCAAGTCCTTGCCCTACATTCTTTCTTTTTCGATAATCCGTTTTGTTCTCGTCATGTCGATGTACATCACAATACAGATGAAGATATCTGTTGCTACTTGCATTTTATGGCAACTTTAAAAATGACACACCAGTTTTATGCTTTATAAGTGTAGCCAGTGAGCTGTCAAGATAATTTGGTATTTATTTTACTCAGTTTGTCCACTTGTAGAATTATTAAAAAATATTTTTTTATGTATCGCAATGTAATTTTTATTTTTATGTTTAATATATATACAGTCTGCTGCCACGGATACAAGCTCAGATATAGAGTCACCCGCTAAAGCACTTTCTGAATTGCCACCCGAGTCTGAGCGGGCCACTGCGGTTCCAGATGAGGGTGTTACACCAATACCACAAGTCATCCCATCAGTGGATTTAGCCCCAGTAGCTGATGTTGTGTCAGAAGATGCTGTAGAACCTCCTCCTGTTGTTGATGAAGCATCTGGAATTGCTGCCCCACCATCTAAACCTGAATCTCCCCTTGCAACTGTTCTTGAAACTGCTCTAGTTACAGAAACTACCCCTGAGCCTGTCCTAGATGCAGAATCCACCACTGAACCCACCCCTGCTCCTGAGCCAACACCTTCCGCTGAAACGGTTATTACTTCTGTTGTGGAGTCTGAAAATGTTCTGGAAGCTGCTCCAGAAATTGTAGTCCCTGCAACTACGGAGGCCACGCCCTCAACTCCACCTACATTAGAGGAAACCACACCCCCTGAAGATGCCACCTCAACCACAGTAGATGAGGAACCTGCTTCTGTTGTCCCGCCCCCTGCTGAAGAACCCATTCCTATGACACCTCCCCCAGCTGAAGAGGCCCCACCTTCATCTGAGCCTACTGTAGTTGAGCCAGCCACAGGTGAGGAAACATATTTAGTTATGAAGTAAGTTTGATTTTTATTTAGCATTTTCCCCTCCTACTAGTCTAATGCAACTATCCCAATTCCTTTGGATCAATTACATTTTTTTTCAACTTTTTTTTAACTACCTGACAAAGACAGGAATGCTTAATTAAGAGCAAAAGATGCTAATTAAGTGTGTCATTTATGCTTTATATATTTTACTTTATATATGAATGTTTATTCTATCAATCTCCAGCTGCCTTCCTGTGTGAATGATGGCAAATGTTGTTTGTTTTTGAAAGAAGTATCTTATGCTTACTAAGGCTGCATTTATTAGGTAAAACATTTAAAATAACTATTTTATATTTTAAAGTATTTAAAATAATTATTCCTGTGACAGCAAAGCTGAATTTTCAGCATCATTACTTCAGTGTCACATGATCCTTCAGAAATCATTCAAATTTGCTGATTTGCTGCTCAAGAAACATTTCTTATTATATCAATATTTTCTGGATTCTTTGATGAATAGTGTATTTAAAAGAACAGCATTTATTTTGAAAAGAAATATTTTTTTAACAGTGTAAATACTGCCACTTTTGATCAATTTAATGCGTCCTTGCTAAATAAAAGCATTAAAGGCACCGTATGTAAATTTTCTTTATCCAAAAACCACTAGAACAGTGTTATATATTTTGCTGAATTGTGTACTTACATTATCCCGAATGTTTAAATGTTCCAGAGAAATAAGCAATTTTAACTAGTGACATGCACCGTGTCTATAGAGTCATTGTGTATCGCCTGCCCAATGACGTCATAACCCCTCGATTTCCGGTTTTGTTTTGTAGAAAACACCAAAGACGCTTTAATATGTTGTGCATTTTAATAGACCGGTGACAACCGCACAGAGTAGCATTATAACAGAACTTTCAGATGTATCTAGTATGATAAAACAGCGCTGCTTCTTTTCCCCCCACATACGCACGACTGGAAGGAGAGGAAGCGGTCGACTGTGGCATAATAAAAGCGCCGCTGCTTTCGAGCCGTGTGTCACGCTCGTTCAGCGGCCTCGTTTCGCTTCGACGGCTTTCAGCCTCACCCTGCTTCATTCTACATTAATAAATCATTAGCTTCTTCAAGTCCAACACCTATTGTGTTTTATTAGGAGACACACAACAGTTCTTCTGTGGCTTTATAGGTAATATTTTCACTTACACAATTTAGCAAAATCAGACAATATCGTGTCTAATATATACCACAATATTAATTTCTTATTTAATTTTTGTAAATATCACATTTGGAACTGGTCAGTGTTCAAAAAATGCTGGGAAATCACTTCATGTAGCCCTACAAGAGTGAGTACTGATAAACTGTCTGAAAAAAAATAGTTTTTAGAGAAGAAAAAAATCACCCACTGACTTTCAAAGCTGCTACATATAGTAACGACTTTCTACTTCGAGGACCTTGATAGAAATGTAGTGGAGCGAAAAGTACAACATTTGTCTTTCAAATGTAGTGAAGTTAAAGTCATAAGTTCCCAGAAAAAATAATACTCAAGTAAAGTACAGATACTCAAAAAGTGTACTTAAGTACAATACTCAAGTAAATGTACTTAGTTACTGTCCGCCTCTGCCCGTTGGATTGCATCGGCTGTGGGAATGAAGACCACAACTCCCATGATTCCACACTCAGTCACTGCATCATCAAACTATGCCTTTGTCTATTTGTTTAGTTTGAATATGCGTCCTCTAGCGTCGAAAAATTACATATTGTGCCTTTAATTTAATTTTTTTTTTTTTTAAAGTACTGACTCCAAACCTTTGAACGGTAATGTGTTATGATCAAAACCAGTTTGCTTCCACCATGTTTCTTTAATTATGACATTGTGGTGGCGTTCATATGCATCTTCATGTTTATGTTGTAAAAACATAGTCATTCTTACATGACTTGGCAGCATAAGCACTTCTCTTCTCCATATTCTAAAACCCACCGTCGCTTTCCATTCTAGTGAAGTCAAGTTTTGTTCCTGACCCGTCTCTGCTTGACCACGGCCAGTCTAATCCAGAGGACGCAGACATGTACAGCACACGGAGCTGAATGAGTAACTGCAGCAGAGAGAAAGATGGAGGATATAATGAGATGTTTTAATGTGCCATGATTCCAGCAGTGTTTGATCGGTTTGTGATTAGGACATTCAATGTTTTACCAATGATGTGGAAGAAGGTAATGTTACACTTTTCCTTTTGTGCTGCCTCACACATATGAGAAGTTTCTTACCTCAGCAGGGATATCAAACACACACAAGGTCACATTTCCTTGTTAACACACATTATCTACATTTTGTTGACGCTATGGAGAAAAACCCAGGGTAACAGTATTTTAATAAAAAGCCTGTGGTCCCTTAGTTTAATCTCCAGATTTATTGCTGACCTCAATTCCTGTAGCAACAGGAATTTTGTGCTTATTTTATACTGTGAAAAAATTACATCAAACTGGACCACACAAAAAAAAATTTTTTATATGATCAAAAACATTTGATGTATACACGTATTTTCTAAAATACATTTTACAGGGGTTAGGAGTAAATATATCAAGCCTTATCTACATAGTTAGACTGTCTATTTGTTTGAAATTGGAAAAAAAAGAGACTAAAATAATCTGTCAGAACTTCAGATAACAGCAGTTAAATCTGTCATATTTCAAAATATTAGTTCACGCTGCATCTTTAGTTTCGATGTTTCAAATGTGACTCAATTGTAGGGTTGTCCAGCACCATTTTGGACAGTATCTCTCAAAGGGCACTAATGGGTTTTTGTTAAAAGGTTTAATTTATGCTGTCTTTACATGAATCTTTGTTGCCTGTGCAATAGAAAAGCATGAGATGAAAATAAAGGTATTTAAAAAATGTTTTTGAGTTTATTTTTCTAAAATGTTTCCTGAAATTACAAACAACAGGTTGGAAGCTTATATTATTAATACAAATACAAAACAACTTTCTGGCCCATTTACACACATAAAATCCAGTCCCTAGTTTTCCAGTCCCCTAAAACATGATTTTCTTTGCATGATTATTTTCATGATGTGTGGCGTCTCATTGTGTGCCATCGGGCTGGCAGATGTCTGCTGTCTTGTAGAGTTTGGAGCAAATCATTTCTACCCTGCGTTCTCCGAGCAGACAGAGATCAAGAATACACACCACACGCCCTGACTCAAGCTGTGGGGCAGAATTCATCAATGACCCTGGAGAAAACACACACACACACACACACACACACTTTAGTGCTACAGTAAGTCATTGCGACTCAGCAGAGATTGAGAATGTGAACAGAACAGTAGAACACATACACACCTGGTGTAGGGCAGCTACCATCTGGCTGAACACACAGTCATCCTGTTGATATGCAGGACAGCAGTGAGTTGTCATGCTGAGTGTGCAGCACTCCAGCAGCTCTGGGGTCATTAGGGGAGACAACAGGCACAAACAGAACATCTACTGCAGCCGTTTGATTCAGCCCTGAGAGAAGAAGAGAAGCCCAGTTATCACCTCAAGCTATAGCTCCGTTCCACAACATGGTGAGCTGCAAGTGCTGTTCTTACCTAGAATTGTAAGTGTGAAGTAACCGGTGCAGGCCACAGGTGTGTGTGTGTGCGTCTGTGAGGTGAGATCGGGCGTCGATCTGGCTGGGCTCAGGTTCAGCTGATGTAGTAGAACTTCTCTGTCATCAAAGTGGAATTTTTCCGGAACGCTTTCCTGATCGAGTCTACCACAGCAAAAGTGATCGATCACTTGCTGTTTCACTAACGGCCAGACGCTACTCTCCCATAATGCAGTGGGGTGGCTGGCAGCTTGCTGTAAGCCTGGGACTTGTGATGTCTGGTCAATCTCTTTAGAGAGAAAAAAAAATATTACAATACCGTTCAAACGTTTGAGATCAATAAGATTTATTGATTTTAAAAGTCTCTTAGCTCACCATGACTGCAGTTATTTGATCAAAATACAGTAATATTTTAATATCAGTTTTAAAGAACTCTCTTCTGTTTAATGTATTTTAAAATATAATTTATTATGTCTTTATGTCCCCCATGTTATTTTATTATATATACTTGTGTCAGTGATGTTTAGAGGGTACAATACCTTTTCCTACAGCTGACTGTCTAACTGATATGTGTTCGTCTTCAACCTCAGATTCCTCTGACTCCAACTCTCCTTCATCCCGTCGCTCTTCTTCCTCCTCTTCATGAGAGGTAAGGCCCGCCTGCCTGAGGGACCAATCAGAAGGGAGATTTAAAGAAATCTTCTGGCAAGCAGTCAATTTTTGCAGAAATGAATTTTAGTACCTCAGTAAAAAAACATTATTTACATTATGCATTTATGATGGAAGTGTATAGGGCAAGGCCCTGAAATTTAAATAAATGTACATTATATTACAAATTTAAATAAATGTATATTAAATATACAAGTTTCAAGTTTTCAACTGCAGAATGAATATACATCAAATGAAATTTCTGTCACTCTGACCTGTTTGAATCTCAGTAATAGCTGGGTGGAACTTAAAACTACAACAGGTAGGTTTTCAGATTAAAATACACAATATTTTAGAGGAAAACATATAGATGTTCTATTATTACTAGTATGCTGAATTATACAAAAAAATATAAAATTCTGCACAATTCATGAATAGGCTGAAGTGAGTCTAAGTATAATGTGCTTAGATTACCTGTTGGACTGCATTTTGGATCTGGTGAAATACTGCCGATGCACTCCTCTGAATAAAGAGGGAAACATATTTGTGACACTAATGATATCAAAAACATTTTATACACAGTATTTGCACAAATTAAGCAATATTCATTCAAACTAATTTCCACACCTGCCAATGGTAAGTAAACCAGCCATAAATGCCTTACCTGCCAAGAAACAGTATTTTGCACGGTTTTTATTGACGCATACATTTTTGCCCTTTTGACTGGATTTGGCTTTAGAATTTTCCTTAAATATTTAAACCGCTTTTCAAAACTTTGAGGTCATTTATAATGAAAAGATTCCCATTTCAAATAACTTTTACCTTTCTATTCATCAAAGAATCATGAAAAAAAAATGTATCATGGTTGTATCGACTGTTTTCAACACTGATAATAATAAAAAAGAAAAGTTTTCTTGACACCAAATCTGCATATTAGAGGTAGGCAGTTAATAATGAACGATATCATCATGGATTTGATACACAAATCCAATGGCCACTGGTGAAGAATGCCTTCCTGACCTTGAGCCTGTCTGCACTCTCCTGCGTTTGGGTGAGACTGTAATGTCAGAATCAGGTGAGGTTGAATCCATTTCTCTCTGTGTCAGAGTCATCTCCTCCATTGTGGAGAGAGGAATGGCAGCTCCAGTGTCACTGACTCCTCGTACGGACACAACCTCCTGCAGTAATGACATCACACCATTGTTATTTTTGTGAGCACATTTTCAGAAATGTACAGGGAAATAACATACTATCCTTATGACGGCTGCTTCAACTTGATTGAGTTGTACAGACCTGTTGTTCACTGAGTGGCGTTTCAGGTTGTGTTGGCCATGTGTGGTACTGCACGGCAGCCAAGTCGCCCTGTACAGCCACTCTCCTGTGCTCCCTGTACTGCAGACTCTCCAGCTCCCCCTTCAGATTAGCCACTGCTGTAATTGGCTCATCTACAACACACAGGAATTCATGTGTTTAGTGCAGGGTTCCTCAAATCTTGCCCTGGAGGGCCAATGCCCAGCAGAGTTTAGCTGCAACCCTAATCAAACACACCTGAGCAAGCTCATCGAGGTCTTCAGGATCCCTGTCAATATCAGAGGTAAGTGAGTTTGATCAGGGTTTAAGCTAAACTCTGCAGGGCAGTGGCCCTCCAGGACCAGATTTGAGGAACCCTGAGTTAGTGTTTAGTTAAATCATAGTTCACCCAAAATCACAAATTTTGTCATGATTTACTCACCCTCATGTTGTTCCAAACCTGTATGAATTTTTGTCTTTACAAAAGAAGATATTTTGAAGAATGTAGGAAACCAAACAGTTACTGGTAGCCATTGACTTCCATAGTATTTTTTTCATACTACCAACTGTGGTTACCAAAATTCTTTAAAATATCTTCTTTTATGTTCCACTAAAGGAAGAAATTCATACAGGTTAAGAACAACTTGAGGGTAAGTAAATGATGACAGAATTTTTGGGTGAACTATCCCTTTAGCATTACATATAGTCTTAGAACAATTCTGGAGTCTTCTGAACATTGAAAATCAAAAAACCTCAAGACTGTGTGTGATGATCTCAGTCGCAATACTGTTTAAATTTAAGAAGGCTAAATCTTACTGTTGCTGTTGGTGGTTGGTGTGAAGGTGGGTGGCCCAGGAGGGTAGCAGTAATGTCCTCCAACTGCAGTCCTCCGCAGCATGACACTGTCTTTCAGTGTCTTAGTCCACTGAATGAATGCTTTAACTTTTGGCTCATTGACATTTTTATGACAGCCTGTGAAAGCACACACACAAACATCTAAATAAAGCTGAGCCGATTATGGTTATCTATGACCTCACTGACTGATTGAATGATCTGGCTGAAATCTACCTGTGATGAAGAGCTGTGTTTCTGTGCTACTGGTCAGATACACAGAACAGCCCGTCTGACATACTCTCATCTGAGAGCACACCAGATACATCACTGCAGAGGAAGAGAGAGAGAAGCAAATAAGGTCATGTAGCATAAGAGGAATACAACGAATGTGTACATGGACTGATGTTTACTTGGGCAGATGTTGTTGAAGATCTCTGGCTGGGATGAGGAGAAGCTCTCCAGGATAAAGGGAGAGTCAGTTGTCCCATCCACTGCATGTACCCAATGATATGCCCAGAACTTCTCAGGTCCTGACACACACACACACACACATGCAGATGTAACAGTGTTTTGACCAATTCCCAACCCTAAGTAATAGTAATAATGCAGCTTATATTAGCAAGCACTATTACTGACAACCAGCTGTTTAATAAAAGGCTATACACCTGTCTTTTCCTTGCTCCTAATTCGCTCAACCCGACCCACGTATGTCACTAGACCAATGATGTCACAGGCTTGGTTCATCGAGACCACCTCTGACCTGATCACAGGGAGCGGTTTAGAAAATTGTTGTTTTGCTTCATGACAAACAAACATGTATTGTAAACAAGACAAATGCAGTAACATAAAGGTATTACAAATTAAAACCATGCAATTAAAAATGCAATAAAATAACACATTAGTTTTTATCTATACTTTGCATATTTGCATTTGACACACACACACACACACTGATTTACGCTACCATTCAAATGTTCGGGACCAGTAAGATTTTGTTTTTGTAAAGTTTTTGGAAGACGTCTCTTATGCTCACCATGTCTGCATTTATTTGATAAAAAAAACAAAAAAAACAGTAAAAACAATATTGTGAAATATTATTACAATTTAACTATTTTCTGTTTTAACATATTTTAATATGCCTAAATGTAATTTATTCCTGTGATGGCAAAGTTGAATTTTCAGCAGCTATTACTCCAGTCTTCAGTGTCACATGATCTTTCAGAAATCATTCTAATATGCTGATTTGCTCTGCCTAATATTTTAGTGGAAACTGTAATCTTTTTTTCAGGATTCTTTGATAAATAGAAAGTACAAAATAACAGAATTTTTTTTTTAACAGAAATCTTTTGTAATATTATCCCGTCT